CGGCACTATTCAGTATGCAACGATTCTTGGACACATTTGGACTAGGTTTCTCTACCATCATTTTTTTGTGAAAATGTTTAAGTGTTAACAAATTCAGAGTGAATGTCACAATTGCAACGTGAGCATTTGTCTAGACATCAATAATAATTTCAACAAAGTTATTCCAGGTTATCATCAAGCATTCGTAAGTCGTCTCTTAATCGTATTTGGCATCAAAACATTATTCGTCTTAATTGGTGTTTATTTGATCTATCAGTTTTATGCATTTAATCTTTGTCGTCAATATTTTGATGCTATACGAAATGTTGACGCGAATCTGTCAGATCCAGAGGAGTTACGAGAACTGCAATCGACGAGCGATAAGGTGCAATCAATTGCTGATAAGCCATGAGAATTGCGTTCTGTTCTATTCAGCACATTGCTTGCATTATCAACTCAATTTACTGGTGTTGTAGATGTATTCGGTAGGTATTCATTTCAATTTGTCGATTTGTTGACTCATGGAAATAGATATCGCATTTCCATTGATTGTTGCAGTTCCTACTCTATCATTTTGAATATCATCAACCTTTATTGCTCGCTAAATTTTTGCTCAGTTAATGCCTCAGGAAGGTGAGAGGATCGTGAATGAAAACTGATATCAAAGATATCGTTTTTCTGATCACTCTCATTACGAATTCCAATTCTGTCGTTGTCGAGCAACGCTCAGAAAGACTACGAACAATCGCTAATGATGAAATTTTTGCATTTTTCATTTAATTGTTTAACATTTAATTGTTTGACAATATTGTCAGGAATTATAGACATCTTATTCAAAGAAAGCAAATGTGTGTATGGTGATCATTTTTGCATAGTTTGCGAAACAAAATCATCGATGCATTATTCTGCACGTGTGAAAATGTTGCGATAATAAAGTTGTATGATGTACCTTCAAAGCGCCGAAAACATTGAATTGATTGCACTGACAACCTCAATGTCACTCAAGTTTGCGACTACAGAAACAGTGATGAGGCTAAGTGATTTGAGGTGATATAATTATAAAATGTAATTGTATGAAATTTTGTTTTTTGATGGTGTTCACAAAGAAGCGTTCGTCAATCGGTGTAATGTAATACTTATTTATTGCAAACTGTTCATATCGCGCACTATTAATATGTATTCGTCATCACTACTTATTTTTTGTTCATTTCATCACGATTGAAAAGTTTCGAAACTCTCAATTTCCTGATGATTTGTTGATGAAATAAAGACGTGAATACTTGAACTTCTGAGCTGCTAAACAACAGATATTGCCATTTTGACACTCATATCCATCAGCGCATAATCCGTTGTAGCACGAGCCGAAAGGTGTTTCACCATTTGAACACACCGGGCAGCAATATCCGTTTGTATTACAAGTATAACCATTTGCACATCCCTTCAAAGCATTCATCATACAATCTATTCGTTTGATGTTGAATATAAGAAAACAAAATCAAAATGTTGACTGCTGCTGCTGCTTACCTGAGAGCAAAATCCATTGGTTCGTCCGAATGGACACTCACAACAATAATTTGATGCTGAGCAAATGAAGTCGCTTGGACATGAACCGTTCCTATCACAACTGCTCAGTGCAGCTATACCACCGCATGCATCTAAACAAAATTTTGTGGAGGTTTTCCTTCGTTGCGTCAAATTCTACTGATTCCTGCAGCAGCAGGTTGATTTTTCATGCTTACACCTCCACGAAACATTCTTGACTCTATCGCGAGAAGATATTCTCAAGTCTTCTCGCATAAGACTTTCTTCTGTACTTCACGAAAGTATTCAATCGCATTGTAAATACCAAAACAGTTTGTTTGCGTAAAATTCACTCTAATCGAAAGGTCAACAAGCAGTCAATAGTAAAAGCACAGATCTTTTGTTGCTTTAATCTTTACCAAGAGAATGTTGTGAGGGAATACGATACGACGACTATGATTAATCGAAGAAGTACAACTAACATAAGTACTGTTTATCAGCGTTAACGCAACAAACATTATTCATACAAGTTTGTCCCGTTGAACAATGTCCCTGTACGGTGCATCGCGTTCGCGTCCTCTCGCCATTGTAACAATATGCTGTAAAGCAACGTCATATCACGACGATACGACCATTGTTTCCGAATTTTCAATGACATTTTGAGGTGAAAAAATAACAAATCAATTCTTTCGAATAACTCTTACCCAATGCTGGAGTTGATGGTTCTGGAGTGGGCGGTAAAGTTGGTTCAGGCGGTATAACTGGTATTGGCTCTACAGGTGGTATAACTGGTATTGGCTCTACAGGTGGTACGGGCGGTACAGGTGGAAAAGGTGGTAATACTGGTATAGGTGGTTTGGTTGGCGTATCAGGTAGAGTTGGGCAACAGCAACAACAGCCATTATCACAGGTGCACGGTTTTGCATAATAAGGTGAACATGAACAAGTGCCACTGGATTGTTGAGCATCATGAATGTTTTTGCAAGAGTTTGTTGGTGAGTCATTAGAGTTGAAGCATGCTGCAAGTAGCGATTCAACCCATTCGAATGGAATTCGAATGGGTTGAACACGAAAATTTAATACAGTCTTTCAAGTAGCGTATTTGCTTGAGTTACGCGATATTGCTTGTGCTGAATGACTTTCGTCGAATGTAAAATACAAAAGCCGATTGTAAATATTTTTCTTTCACCTTGTTAACATTCGAATGAAATTTGGCTACTTGAAAAGTGTTCGAAGTATAGCATTAGAGGAACTTACGAGAGTGTGAGTAGTACTGAGTTGGATATGAACCACAAATGTAGTAAGCAAATTGTCGTTTTTTGAGCTGTCGCAGGCCGAATTTCTTTTCACTTGTTAGTCCATTGATCGTGATAGCAGTGGTCAGCATGAACATTGTGATTAGGATCATCGTTCGACTCGGCTTAAAATAACACTTATGTGAGGGAATATATTTTTTTCGCGCTCTCGAACATATACGAAAATTTCAACCAAAAAACAACTCTGAGTTAATTTTTTTTTTCAATTTGCACCATATTCAGGCCATATAAGATGTCGATTAGTGCTAAATTGATAAGTCTCTTTGCTGATACATTCCAAACAAAATGCGACGATTTTGTTCGCAAGATTGAGCACAACGCACTGCACTATTGTCTAGTATACGATGAGGTAGAATCTA